GAGAACTGGCGACTTTCTAGTACAACTTTAGTACGCGGAGCAATCTGTGGAGCTGGAAGCTGAGAACTGGTGAGTTTCTAGTACAACTTTAGTACGCGGAGTAGCTGTGGAGCTGGAAGCTGAGAACTGAGAACTGGCGACTTTGTAGTACAACTTTAGTACGCGGAGTAGCTGGGGAGCTGGAAGATGAGAACTGGCGACTTGGTAGTACAACTTTAGTACGCGGAGTAGCTGGGGAGTGGGAAGATGAGAACTGGCGACTTGGTAGTACAACTTGAGCACGCGGAGTATCTCGGGAGCTGGAAGATGAGCACTGGCGACTTTGTAGTACAACTGTAGTACGCGGAGTAGCTGGGGAGCTGGAAGATGAGAACTGGCGACTTGGTAGTACAACTTTAGTACGCGGAGTATCTGGGGAGTGGGAAGATGAGAACTGGTGACTTGGTAGTACAACATTAGTACGCGGAGTATCCGGGGAGCTGGAAGATGAGAACTGGCGACTTGGTAGTACAACTTGAGTACGCGGAGTATCTGGGGAGCTGGAAGATGAGAACTGGCGACTTGGTAGTAGAACTTTAGTACACGGAGCAATCTGTGGAGCTGGAAGATGAGAACTGGCGACTTTGTAGTACAACTTTACTACGCGGAGGCGACTTTCGAGAGGTGAAGAACTTGCAGAAGACAGGTGTTCCTGCGCTTCAGAAAGACATACAGAGAGAGACACATACACACACAGACATAGATACACACACACAGAGACCCACACACTGCCTCAACACACTCGACTTAACACTTCACACTGAACACTTATAACACACTTAACAGATAACTCGCACTCTGACTTCCTACGTGATGAAAAATGCTTTCGGGCCACTCGTCGTCTAGTTTTTGTGAACAGATTCATCAGTTACCCATTAACAAGATGAGACCCCAGCAAAAAAGTCTTGAGCCGTGTCCATAATATGAAGTTCTGAAGATGTCGGAGGCCCTCACCCCTACCTCGCCTTGCGTCTTCAGGTAACCAGCCAGCGAAGGCAGGTGTTGGATCGAGTGAACGCCTGACGATAGTTGCAAAGCCACCCCAGCAACCTTTGAAGAACTCATGATTAAGGTCCCTGGTAGCAGCTTTAGGCTGGTCAAGAACAGGTTGGACATGGTTGGACAGCCAGGAAAGGCCGCGGACATGGGCAACCAGGGGGATTCAGCGCAACGGAAAAGGGGTGATTCGAAAAAGGGGTGATTAGTGGGTGAGCCCGACCCAATGAATTGGCTTCTACTGCCATGGCTCCAATCGACTTACCAAGAGTCCATGCCACTGATCAGGAGAAAAGAAGTTGAGTTAGTAAACTCTTAGTAGCCGTGGTGATCAGATATCATGAGGTGTTGTGGCCACAACAACTCCACGTGATACACTTGATTGAAGCAAGAGCACATCCTGCACCGCCAGGTCAACCTGATTTTTCGATGCCCAATCCGCTATCGACCAATGACAAAAATGGGTTCGGAACTCCTGACGAACAAGGTCCTGCATGATCCCAAATAAGTGCAAATAATCCTCATGGCTTGATATGCCTAAGTGGTGTTGTTTCTTCCGTGAAGAATCAGGTTTGCCGATGGGGCAGGAATCCTGATGGGCACCATGGTGGACCCGTCTCCCAGAAGTCAACAAACATCATTCATTCCATAGAGTATGTGCCCTGGCAGGTGATTCCACAGTTACCCGGCTGCACAGAGGCTCTGAAGAGACGTCGATGTGATGTGTTCCTTTAGATCGATAGACGTCGATGTGTTGCATGATAGAGCTGTCGAGGAGTAGACATATATTAATACACACTCAACCAGGGCTTATTCCAGAATGCCCTGGAAAGCAGAACACGCGAGAGCTTTTGGCGCCTGTGTGATTCGCTTTAACAAAAAATACACTCAGAAACTTGGGGTCACACCCAGCAACAGCGATTTGGCTGAAACATGGGGGCCACAGGGTGTCAGTGGAGGCGAAACATGAACAGTTTCTGAAAACTGTGTGTGCCAAAAGATTGGCTCAAGCCGTTCAATTCTTTCAAAGGCCTTCCCCAGTGCCTCCCCTCGTCGCCGGCCTGCGGTGTTCCGTGGTTTTTTTTGGAAGGAGGGTGCAGGTGCGACCTCGCGCAGGGAGATGGGGCAAAACGCCTCATGCTTCAAAGGTGGCGAACTGGATGTTCTGGAGTTTTGTCACAGTCACCGACTCTCGGTAGTCTCTTTGGCATCCAATGCATCGTCAGCTTCCAACTGCAGCGAGGACGACATCAACAATCGCTCCTGTGGCTTTCTGGGAAACCAAGAGCTCAAACGTTTCCAATGGGTGCCTCCCAAAGGATGGGACCACCATGCAACCCGGGCAGATGCGTGAGCAGATGTTTTGGACATGTTTTGGATGTTTCCCTGAAAAGGTTTGGTGCAAGACTCGGACCTTGGCAGGGATTTCAAATCAAAGACACGAAAGCTTGACAAGAAAGTCACGGCCTCACACCTAAGCATGCTAGTCGGACGCTACTGTAGTCTTTGCTTCTCATGCACGTCGTGCGAGAATCAAGCAGTTGTAGACTCACAGCGCAATCTCTACAGAGGCTCCCGAGGTGGTCCTAAGGTCGTGATAAACTTCCCCAGCTTTGGCTCCTGAGGCCCGGCTTCTGCGGGTGTCCGCGCGCAACAGTCTCATTTGGGATGGATCTACTCCTGTGCCCGTGGCCCCTGCCAAGTCGCTCTCGTGGTTGCTCCCCTGCAGTGACAAGATGGCCTTGAGGATTGCCAAGCTGCAAGAGAAGCTCCGAAGCTCCGGCTGGAAAATCGTGACGAGTCCAGCGACTAGGAAGCACTTGAAGCACAATATGAAGAGATGTCAAGACCCTTTGAGAGCTTGTTGGATCAGAAGATGTGATGACTTTTTATACTTTTGTTGTGTCCAGCTGAAGACCAGTGAAGAACGAGACTAGGAGGCCAAAACAAAAAAATGGTTGTTTCCAGCCCCAGACTGATCAAGCGAGGTCCATATCATCCAAAGCCTGGGGAACAAGGCGCAATTCCCAGTCTATGCAGCGAAGATTGGCATGCTGAGCTTTCTTCCTTGCCACTTCTCATCACCTGAGATGGCCGCTTATCCCTGCGTCCTGAAGCCAGCGAAAGGCGAATATGGGAAAAACACGTACATTTGCCACAGCAAAGAGGAAGTGTACCAAGTCTCGCCAGAGTTCTCGACCGCCAAGTGGGTTCTGCAAGAGCTAGTTCCTGGAAACGTCGAGTTCTCAGTGTCGCTTCTGGTTCTCCATGGGAGCATTGTTGATGTGATTGGCATGAAATACGTCTATGACACCCAGATTTGCTGATCAGATCCTTTTAAATCGTTCATTTTTCTTCATGTTCCTCCTCACAATCGCATATTAAGTCTAAGCGAGTGTCTAATAAGCGTGCACATCCCCAACATTCATCGAAGATATTGAGGGCACTTCGATAGCTTCTTCACATTTCACCATTGCCTCCTTGGAGGCCCCATCTGCGTAGCCTGCGTATTGTTTTTCCCAGATGGATCCAAATTGCCTGTCTGCTGCGATCTCAGGACAAATCCATTTACATTTGGCCGAAGGTCACCGAGTTACATCGACACCTTTGCGATGTGCCGGTGCAGCACACGGCTGCCACCGAGCTCAAAGACCTCTTTTTGGACGTTCGAATCGGCCCCCAACAAACAGAGCCAAACACTCTCTATGGGTGGCAGGAAACGCTGATGTCGATGAGTTCTTAAGACTTTTCTGATCTTTCTACTTTTGCCCCCCAAAAGTGGTTCTACATAGATTTGCAGAGTTTCAGGGGTCCTTCTTCGGCCACTGAAAGGTGATGGCTCGCTTCTTGGCGGAGTATGATGGAATCGTGAATTTCAATTACAAGCCACTGACCTGCATTGAGGGTGGACCCCACAGATATCACAGGAAGACGTGGGCCACTGGTTTTGGGGTCCAGCCGTGGGATTCTCTACGTTGTGGACATTGGGTTGCAACATCTTGCCACCATTTCACTGGGGCATTTGCCCCAACACCCAGCAATCATGAATCAGATTCCTGCATCTCAATTTGCAAGTATATCATATCCTGGGTTGGTGATCGGAAGACCGCTGAGGATTTAAGAACCATTAGATTACTGTACTAGGGTTTGAAAGAAGTACTGGAGTGGGAAGCGAGATGGAGCAAGCCAATTATACAATTCATTTTTGTGGGCTTGCTGGCGGCAAATCCAGTGACTTGCCTGGTTGAAGTTCACATCCCAGCCATGCCCGGCCACATCATAACTCTTTCTGTAAAGCCCGCTGCCTTTGTCACCCTAGCTATCCGTTCAAACAGAGGCAACTGCCCATTCGTTGCCGGTCCACATGAGCAAGGCCAAACACCTCCCAAGATGAACTAAGTAAAGGCCTTGTCATATGGAACTTGGGCATAAGAAAGTTATACGACATAGGGGTTTAATCATACGTATTTGGCCCAGCTCACATATGCTCACATGCCCAGGCAACGACCAGATGGGAGGATTTGCATCTTTGAGGTGAACACTCGGATCGGCGCTGATCTCGCGTGTGATGCCCCGCGCGAACGTGCGCGCGAACTGTTTCAGCTGCTGGACAAGCTCCGGGGCTGAGGCAAATGCCGTAGTAGTCGTAGTCGGAGTACTTAGATCCAGGAAGCAACGGAGGCAAAGTCTGGATCTCGGGCCTCAAGATGTTAGAGTTTGGCTGCCAGCAATGAGGTGAACGAAGAAAGCTTTTCTATTCTATAGGGGAGCAACTGGAATCTCTAGCAACTTGGGGGCACATTGAGAGTTTTTACACAGAAAGACCGCTCCGTTTCTCACCTTGCCCAGGTTTGCCGACAGTCGAAGACACGGCAGATGACTAGACTAGTATGTCCCACCTGTGGACTCTAGAACTTCAAGAGTAAAAAAGAGTCTTGACCTGGCACGGGAGTCCGGCCACTAGTAGCAATGGCCTCCAACCTAATAGCAAAAAAGGAACCTAATAGCGATGGCCTCCAACCTAGTAGCGACTCCAACCTTGACTTGGCACTTTCTATCCAGGGAAGCTAGAGGCTTTTGGTGATTCATTTGCAGATTGTTTTTTTTTTTTTTTTAAACACCACTGAATTAGTTTTTTTTTTTTTTTAAAGCAGATTAGCAAGCGATCAAGACCTGGAGGAGGTCTCCCAGAATCATAGTATATAAGTTAAACCTTGGAGGCTAAGGGGCAGCAGCTTCGTTTGTGCTGCCTGCGCTGCCCAGGTTTCCCAAGTTCTTCATCGCCATCGACAATTATACCTTGGAGTTTCCAGATGGTGAGGACGACTAAACACGACGGACGATGGAGGTGAGAACTAACCTTCCGGATGAACACACTAAGAGAGGCGTAAGCAGACAGCCAGAACCGCCTGGACCTTTGTGATGATGGAGAAGGAATGCAGGTCGTGTGCTGAAAACATGTTAGTGTTTTTTTGGATTTTGCGCTGGACCATTGCACAAACCCGAATGAAAGACCAATGGTGCCACCAAGAAACGGAGCCATTTGGCCAGCACAACTTTTTGTACTTGGTCGGATTGTCATGGATTATCATGGAGTGTCATCTTATGTTCCAGAATCATTTTATCTACTGGGTGGGCCAGGTTTCAGATGTTGTTGGTTTTACTGCCGCAGCACAGTTTGGTGGGGCAAGCTGTGCCAGGACAATCGGCCACATGCCGTTGGGATGAGTGCGTGCGTTGGCAAGGACGCGTATCCCGATACCTCGGAGTGAGTTCAGTCGCCGCGGGTTCGAGTGTTGCCAAGTCGAGCATCAGGGTCCTGCTGTGAGTTTTGACTTTAATGTGTGTGTGTGTGTGTTGAAATTAGTAACAAGAAGCTAGTAGAAACAAGTGCCACGCTACTAGTAACAGGTGCCTTACTAGTAGTAACAATATTCGCTACTAGGAACAAGTGCATCGCTACTAGTAACAAGAAGCCTTAGGAACTCTCTCCCAGTGGACAGAGTGCCAGACCTAGTGCCAGACCTAGTTGTTCGATCCCCAGGCATCTTAGGCCCAGGCTGGAGCTCGAAAGTAGCGGCCAGCCGTCCACTTGGACGCTCGGAAGGTTGAAGCTAAGTGTTTCCTCCTGCAAGATCCTGCAAGGGTGCGAACAAGAGGGAAGAAACACTTAGCAACACTAGGAACCCTTAGAGGGAAGAAACACTTAGCAAGACTAGGAACACTTAGAGGGAAGAAACACTTAGCAAGACTAGGAACACTTAGAGGGAAGAAACACTTAG